GGAAACACAAGCTCCTGACTGCTCTGAACTCCAGTTTTGGGTGAGTCTCTGGGGAACCAGACTCATACAGGGAGAAACTGGACTGTCTGGCATCAGGCGGAACTCGAGGGTGGCTTTCTCTCAGAGGTGCTTGCAGCAATTACCGAGGGACACTGAGACCCAGGGTCTCTAAGGGCAGGGCTCAGGATCAGCCATAACTGTTTGCTCCGCCCTGTTGATTCCCTGAGACCCTGCCCCACCCAAGCTGTGCTTAGAGACTTTTGAATATATGAATGGCCTGGCCCTTTGCAATCTAAAATTACCTAACAAACTGCAGTTGGGTCAGAGAGACCCAGAACATTCAAAAGAAGGCCCAAGGCCCCACAGAAGCTTGCATTGCTTCACAGCTGGGCCTCATCTGGGCACCTCCAAACCCCAAACAAAAAAGAGGAATCTGCAGATCTCTCAGTAGCTCCAGCTGGGTAGCCTCAGGAAGAGTTTAATTAGCACCTCCTTAGAGATCCAAGAGCCAGTGTACCCAGTGGTTAGAGTGGGACCATCCAGACTACAACTCCTCAGATCCATAAGGGACACACTCAGGGGGCAGACTCAGTGAGCACCAAAGCCCCACTGAAGCAAGTCTTGCCCCAGAAGGGTGTCTCCAGCACAGAAGTTCTCCCACCGTAGACACAGCTGAATCTCACAGGCAATTGGCCTGGAGGTCAATTCCTCCCAATGATACCTACAACAATCAAGGCTTAACTACAACAAGAATGTGCATAAAGCCCACAAAGGGGTGCACCAAGAGTGTCCACCTCAGGTAATTGGGGAGGCTGAGCCACTGGGCCCTATAGGACACCTAGCACACAAAGCCACTCTACCAACACAGGGAAGCAGCCAACATGTGGAGACAAAGAAATAGGTCATAAATGACAGAAATGGAGGCAAGCAAACTACTGGCTATAGAGTTCAAAACCACACTTATAAGGTTTTTCAAGAATTTTCTAGAAACCGCTGATAAATTTAGTGAGACCCTCAAGAAATCTAGTGAGACCCTCGAGATTATGAAAAAGGACCAACTAGAAATTAAGCATACACTGACTGAAATAAAGAATATTATACACACTCCCAACAACAGACTAGAGGATCGCAAGGATCAAGTCAAAGATTTGAAATATGAAGAAGCAAAAAACACCCAACCAGAAAAGCAAAAAGAAAAAAGAATCCAAAAATATGAAGATAGTGTAAGGAGTCTCTGGGACAACTTCAAGCGTACCAACATCCAAATTATGGGGGTGCCAGAAGAAGAGAGACAGCAAGATATTGAAAACCTATTTGAAGAAATAATGACAGAAAACTTCCCCTACCTGGTGAAAGAAATAGACTTACAAGTCCAGGAAGCATAGAGAACCCCAAACAAGAGGAATCCAAAGAGGACCACACCAAGACACATCATAATTAACATGCCAAGGGCAAAAGACAAAGAGAGAATCTTAAAAGCAGCAAGAGAAAAACAGTTAGTTACCTACAAGGGAGTACCCATATGACTGTCAGCTGATTTCTCAACAGAAACTTTGCAGGCCAGAAGGGAGTGGCAAGAAATATTCAAAGTGATGAATAGCAAGAACGTACAACCAAGATAACTTTATCCAGCAAAGCTATCATTCAGAATTGAAGGTCAGATAAAGAGCTTCACAGATAGGAAAAAGCTAAAGGAGTTCATCATCATCAAACCAGTATTATATGAAGTGCTGAAAGGTATTCTTTAAGAAGAGGAAGAAGAAGAAAAAGGTAAAGATACAAATTATGAACAACAAATACACATCTATCAACAAGTGAATCAAAAATCTGATGAACAGAATAAACTGGTGAATATAACAGAATCAGGGGCATAGAAAGGGTGTGAACTGACAAGTCTCAAGGAGAAATGGGTGTGGGGGGTTCGGGAAGAGTATGGACAAAAATTGTACACCTATGGATGAGGACAGTGGGGGGGGGGGGTGAGGGCAGAGGGTGGGGTGGGAACCAGGTAGAGGGGAGCTATGGGGGGAAAAGAGGAACACCTGTAATATTCTGAACAATAAAGATTTAATTAAAAAAAGGTTAAATAAGTTCAGTCTCTTAACCCTTCTAAACAAATTGTTTTTTTTCATTTTCCTTAAAAATGAAAATGAGGTGTGGCTATTTAGAAATTTCAGAGATTGTTGTGAGGTATGTTCATTTACTGGTTCAAGAACAACAAAAACAAAACATGGGCATTTAATAAGCAGCAACAGAGCTATACACTTTTAAGTGCTCAGTGGAAATCTTTTTGCAAGGCTTATTGGCTTTATAAAGAAATCTCACTAAGTAATATCACCTTACCACTTTCCTGGACTAGATAAAAACATCCTAACTCCTCTTTAGAGAATGATAAATATTGAGCACAAAAATAATAAGATTAGAATGAAATTTATATTCTGAAAGCACACCTAGGAAAGAAAATAAAAAAATAAAAATATCCACACCTAGGGAAAACGTATGTTCCCATGTCAAATTAATCCAGAGGCTATTTTCGTTTTTTTTATTTGCATGTTAGACATTTTTCTGAATATACTAGTAAGTGGCTTCTAAAACAATGAACAAAAATGAAAGTATCATTGAAAAACTACTTAACACAACTTTAAGCACAATTCTGGATTGTGCTTGGGAGGTAGTTTCCTACATTAGAATACACAATCCTCTAAGTCAGCGGTTCTCAACCTGTGGGTCGCAACCCCTTTGGGAGTCGAACAACCCTTTCACAGGGGTCACCTAAGACCATCGAAAAACACATATATAATTACATATGTTTTTGTGATTAATCACTATGCTTTAATTATGTTCAATTTGTAACAATGAAATCGGGGGTCACCACAACATGAGGAACTGTATTAAAGGGTCGCGGCATTAGGAAGGTTGAGAACCACTGCCTAAATAATGCTGACAGTTGATCAAGTGCTGTGTTCCCAAGAACTCAACTGACCTACCTGGCTGATAAAAATCCGGGCTTCAGTCCCAGCCCCAGGCATCCAAGGCTGTGAAGATTCACCCTGGGGCTTCCTGGAACAGTCCTGGCTTCACACCCTACATGTCTGCCTGACTCATTGGCTGCTGCCAAAAATACTGCCCTTCTAGAAGGCTTTCTACCTGCTCCTTTTCCAGCAATGGCTATATTTCTGGTTTGTACTTATTTCAATTTTATTTTTTAATGTTACCGTGGTAGGCTGATGGGCCAGGTACAGAAAGAAGGTCACTAGGGTGGAAAGCCCAGGTGCCCAATAACGAGCAATCAGTTGTAGGGGGGACCTTGCCCCCAGGGTGACTTTTCCTCCCCTAGCCTATGGCTGCTGAAGAGGTTTGGACCCCCTGACATTTCCTCCCTAGAGATAACACCTAGGCCTCAGTTGTGTTTTAGCTCCAGGCAAGAGACCCCAGGGCTGACCTCAGAGCCAGCTGCATCGAATAATGACTCCCTGCCCTGGTGCTGACCAATCAATCAGTAGAGTCCTAGACCCTGAAAAGACACACCTGGACTGGTGCTGTATATTCTATTGAGATCATCCCTTGAAACTCCTCTAAAATCTCCACTCTTAAACCCCTACAGCGGTTCTCAACCTTCTGGCCCTTTAAATGCAGTTCCTCATGTTGTGACCCAACCATAAATTATTTTCGTTGCTACTTCTTAACTGTAATGTTGCTACTGTTATGAATCGTAATGTAAATATCTGATATTGATATGCAGGATGGTCTTAGGTGACCCCTGTGAAAGGGTCATTCGACCGCCAAAGGGGTCGCGACCCACAGGTTGAGAACCGCTGCCTTAGGAGGAAGGACTAGATCTCTCCCTCCTGGGCGCACCCCAGTGTCTTTTCCTTCTCTCTTCAACACTTTCAAGCTCTAAGAGCCCTACCTTTGCCACTATAACTTATTTTCTAAGGCCATTTTTTCTATGAATTACTTCTACCTCTGTGTTTTTCCAAATAAATGTTTCTTGGCTCTGAATTCTTTCCGAGCCAGAACCCAGGTACTGAGGCTGCTGAGCCCAAGTCCAATCTGATCCTCTCAGTCCAACACCTGGTGCCATCTCACTTCTGGCAACAAAACCAGAGCTGGACTTGGTTCTTGCACTGTGAGAAAATATATATATATTTTTATTTTGCTTACTCCACTCAGCTTTCCCCACTCTAATTCCATTTTTGCCCCACCTCAAGTTGATTTTATCTTCTAATTATTGGCCAAGATACAACTGGGGTGAAACACAGATATTTGTATACTTGCCTATAAGAGAGTGTAGGTTTAAAAAACCTTTTGAAAGTTGAGGTTTTCCTAAATTCTCCATATATTTCCAAATAACACCATTCAAATTGCTTACATTTTATTTTTTGTTTAATACACTAAATTTCATATAAAATCTCAGGCAATACTGAATATTGAACCCAGTTAAATAACTATTTTTCAAATATATTTACCATTTAAAACTATCTTGAATACCACTAACACTACACATAACTCACTTTAGGAAACACATTATGGACCCAAAAAAATAGCATAAACAATATTATTTTCAACAATACTCAGTCTAATGTTAAACAAATCACCATTGATTAAATTAAAATGAGCCCAAAACTGATTGGTGTTTTAGGCCTTAGCATATTAAGGTTAGTGTTTATTTTACCATATAATGAAATCTTAGAGATTTCATTTAAGTCGATCTTTATAACATTTGTTTAATTATAAATTAATGCAGTGCATGTGTTTTTCACTGGGGAGTAAATATTAGTTTTACTATATACAAGAAAAAATAATAATTTCTTATTTCTGTACCAAACCTAGTTATATTCTCTATAGCAATCAATTCTCAATTATGCTTGCTCTTTACCATTATGAATTAAAATGGAAAATCAGGATGTTCTTTAATAAGATGTTGTCTTTATAATCTGTTTATAATTAAATAATAAGGTCTTTATAAATCTTTTGGAAAACAATTATTTTGTACTCACCGACAATGTCAGTCATAAGACCTGCAATAGCCTCATCTCCTGTGATCCACGGTCGTTTCCCTGTGTCATGACCATAGGCTCCCCTGAAATTAAAACGGGACATAAACATCCTTAGCTTGTGTGTGTGTGTATGATTTTTCAAACATCAGCATTAGCAATGGAGCAATTCTAAATGAGTTTTGTAATATTCTAATAATTATATGAAGTCATGCTTTCTAAAACCAAAGTAATACTTGAGAACTCTGTTTTTTAACTTACTTAAAAATTTCTTTGATTTACTTTTTCTGGGGGGTGAGGGTAGAAGAAATTGCCCATAGACTATTTCATTATTTTTTTTTTAATCTAAGATACTTTTTTTTGAGAATTTCAGCACTATTTGAATACTCTACTTGTATACCTATAGCATATGCAGTATCTATACTATAACCTACCTACTTTTTGAAGCTAAAGACTAAAATTATTATAAAAGCCAATTATAAAATGTAGCTATAATCTATAAATTAAATGGAAGTGTATAAGGTATAACTATACTCAAGTTTCAAGAATGAAACTTGGCAATAATCAAAGCCAATATTACATCTTGACCTATTTCTAGAAATGTATTCTATCATATTTCAACTTAATTTCATCATTCCAGTAAGTCTCTCTGTAGGTATAACGCACAAACAAAAACATACAAAAGAGAACTTCAACTCTCAAAAAGTTTTCATCAAATGAGGAAGGCAAATAAATACATGTGAAAAAATGTAGAAGAAATTAAAACAAAGGGTCTGAAAGAATAAAAGAATGTTACAAAATGCACAGGCCCAGCTGCCAGGCCTAATTGCCTGTTTTAGCTCAACTCCCCAGGCTCCCCCCCCCACTAGAGATAGGAGCAGAGGGAAAGACGCCCTCCCTGAGGAGGTTCCAGGAGATAGCCCCAACAAAGGGCAGGCTTCAATCAACCATTGAGATAAACAGGTTGTAAAAACACCAAGCAGGAGTGCCTTATCCCTATCAAGACACAAACCAGACCCCTTTGGAATTCCTTTGTTCTCCTCTTACCCTCCTGCATGCCACCCCTCCCTGATGTGTGATTTTTGCATATAAAAAGATGAAAAACCCCTGACTGGGCGCCCATCTCCTCTGCTCCTGCGTGAGTATGAGCTGAGCCCCAGCGCGCTCTGGAATAAAACCTCTTGCAGTTTGCATCAAGGGACGTCTCCTGCGGTTGATTGGGGTCGCCGTCGGTCGGTGGGACGGAGTGGGTTCCCTCTCCGGGGTTCTCACAGGTCAAGGTTGGGAAGGGGAGTGGAGGAGGGATGGGGGTGGTGTTACAAACTTGTATTTCCTAATTCAATTGCTCTTAATTTTTATAAATTCACAAACTATGTAAACTTGGGTCAAAGAATAACCATGTGGTTTTTGTATAGTGTAGACTATGAATGAAATTCCGTAAGCTGGCAGTGGTCACTGGGTAAACCTGTTCTCATAGGTGAAGGGTAGCGGAATATGCTTCCCCCAGATATCTCTGTGGTATATTATCTTGAGTTGTAGGCACCAGAAAAACATCAATTTCAGGGAGATGCCATCTCTAAACTTTCCTATCTGCCTAAAGATAAATCCTCCAAAAGAGGAGAATTTACATTAGAAAAGAAGATTTAGAAAAGTCTTCTTCCATAAATTTCCATATATTCCCTCTTTATGAATTTCATCAACCAGGGAAGACTGACTCTTGTCACAGAAGAGATTAGACGTCAAAACCACACCCAGACAAACTTTGTTGCAAACTTCATACCTCCCATCTATTATTCACAGACTCATTCATCTTTCCTCAAAATCATCTATTATCCCTCTCCCCTTTCCATATTAAGATGGGATTTAAGCCTGAATTCTAAGTCACCTTGGGGAGTTATTCATTTTCCACTGGGTATCTCAGATTCTGATGAGAAATACATGTAAAAAATTTGTTTGTTTTTATCTTGTTAATCTGTCTTCCCTCGAGAACAGTGGACCGAACTGAAGAAGAGGAATCCTGTTTTTTAACTTTTTCGAATTTTCATGGTGTGAGTACCCCCAAGGTACTAGTAGCTGACTTCAAGGTATCAACAAAAATCCTGAAAATTTAACGATGGGCTTTTATCACCTGGTCTGAGCCAGTTCTAGGTCACTGCTAGTTAAGAGACTATATTTTTAGAAGCTTATCGGGCTTCATTTCCCATCTTTGTAAAAGTAGATGGATGATAATATATATCTTAAAGGATTGCCATGGAAAATAAATAAAATAACAAGCAAAACAGACTGCTACACAGTAGCCCTTTTCTAAGTCTTCTTTTCTAATGTAAATCTAATGCTAAAACTCCTTTCACAGGGCATGTGGCTTACAACACAATTTTAAAACTAATATTTCAATTACCGTATTAACTGAGATGAAGGAAGAGGACTTCCTTTGGAAATAAACATAAACTATAAGATCTAAGGAGGAAGAGAAGGGCAATTGTTAGTTATTATTATTCATATTATTATTAGATAGCCTGCAGCTTGGCTCCACCGACTCCCAATATAAATGCTAAAGACAAAAATCATTATCATTAAATGGTAGTTAAAGGCAGATACTTGGATCCTTTTTTATTTTAATCACACAGAGCTCCATGGCCTTCGCTGATAGCACCATACATCTTATTACATTTAGGTAGTAAAATTCTATGTTCTGCCTCAGAGAATTTATAACACAGAATATTATGCCACCTACTTCTCACTCCGGTAGACACTGTGGTAGGGGTAATAATCTTTAAGGATATGTTTCTCCCTGCAATGCTTTTGGCATTTCTGTCCCTTTAAAATATCACACATAGAGTCTGCTTCTTCATTTTGTCAGGCCACTAGCCTGGGGTAGTAAAAATGTACTTAGAAAGTGTTACCCAAATAAACTCAAAGCAAAGTGGTCTGTCATTAGGAAGAATTGATGTAGATTACAGTGCACTTATAAACATTCTATTAAAGTTAAGAAAAATATTATATTGCTCTCATTCAAAACTGTTTAAAATAGTTGCAGCATAGTTGCAATCTTCATTTACAAATGCTGGGAAGAAAGAGAGAATGGGAGAGAATTAACCAGTGTAGAAGGCAGTTAGACAGGCATGAGCAGATTAGGAACAATGGGCCAGGTACTGAAGTCACCTGGTGGAAAGACCTGGGTAGCTAGCAAGGGGCAAAGGTAGGCTGGAACCTTGCCCCTAGGGTGACCTTTCTTCCCTAAGCATAGCAAATTGCTGCTGGTCCTGCAGTGTAGACCCCCTGTAACAGGGTATTAAGAAGCTAGGAAAACTCCTAAGCAAGTGGAATAGGGAAGCTGACACAAGAAAATGAAACAAGGCCAAACAGTTTGGGCAGCTTGCAGCCAATTTGCAGCAAAACCTTATCTTGACAACAAATGGCTAATACCTCTCCTCACTAACCAAAGATTGAAGGAAAAGAGGGGGAGTTTTAATGCCTTGTATCCCTAACCAGAGAATACATAGCATAAATCACCCTGGAACTGCCAAGGCAGGAGGGGGGTGGGCTGGGGGGGAGGCAAGAAGGGAGAGTTTATCTCACCCACTAAACAAAGAAGTCAGCCATTTGGGGAAGTTTAAACAGAGAAGCCAGCAGTCTCAGAGCTTGTCAAGATCAATTCACCAAACACTTCTCATAAATTCTGAGAAGCCATAAACAAAGTAACAGGGAGACTTTGAGATCTAGTCTGTACCAAGATATCCGGCAGAGGAATTTAAAAACCTATGGACAGAAAAATATAAAAAGCCAAACCTCTACCAGGCAGCGCTTCTCAAACTAGTGGGGAAGTCTGTCTGTGCTTCATAAACCAGACATATTTTGATGTATTTGCTTGCTTTTCTTCTTTAATAAATTTACTTGCTTTATTTCAGTAATAAATTTGCTTTACTACAATGCCACCCTCAGGGGGTCACTCGTTTTGAATTCTTTCTCATCAGCATGACAAGAACAGGGTACAGCCCTTTCCCTTCCCTTCGCCTCCAGGGGCTGTCCAAACACCCTTTTCTGGTGTTTCAGGTGCCTACAGCACCCTGACCTTTCATATTGCTGGTCATTCGGTTTGGACCCTCCCCTGACATTTCCTCCCCTGGCATGAATGGGGTATTCTGTGAGATGTACATGAAGCAATATTTGCTCATGAAATTAGATTTCAGGATATCAGATATAATTAGGATCTTAATAGATATGTAGACCCTCTTTGAAATAGGACTATGCTTTAATTATCCTGAAAAATGAAAAGTGGCCCTGCTTTGAACAGCTCTCCCCTCAATAAATATGAATTTGCAGTCTTCATGATATCACAAATCTTTGTTCCCTTGTGACCCAATTGCTGATCTCTCACACTGAAATCAGGAAATCTTTGTAACATGTTACACTATGCACTCTCTTATTCATGCTGAAGGCTGGCAGATTACGCCGCACTAAAATTTTCCTCTTTGGCATGGGATTCCTTTGAGCTGAAGGCACTTGAAAAACAGCAAGTGCATGGAGAGGCTGTGTCTGAACTCCCCTTAACCTGCCTGAAAACAGATCTTCCAAAAGAAACTCAACTGCCATAAATCCCCTCCCAGGAGTTTCATCAACCAGGGAAAATGGGCTCTTGTCACAGGACAGAGAGTAGAAGTCAACACCACACCCAGAAAAACGGTCACAAACTATCACACCTCCCATCTCTTCTTCCAAGGGCTCATTTGTCTTTTCTAAAAATTATTTACTCTCCCCAATGTGGCCTATATCTCCCTACTTTTCCCCTGTTGAGATAATATGTAAGTTCTCTAATTGCATCGCTTTTTTATTGATTTAAAAAAAAATAGAGTGAGCAAGCGAGAGAGGTGGATTTGTTGTCCCACTTACTTATGCATTCATTGGCTGATTCTTACATGTGCTCTGACTGGGGATCAAACCCACACCTGGGTATATTGGGACAATGCTCTAACCAACTCTGGCCAGGGCTGCATCGCTTTTTGGGGTTGTGCATGAAAAAACCTGACAAGCTCAGGGGAGGCCTGCATGGTGCTCTTACAAACTCAAAGGCCCAAAGTAATTATAT